CCATTTACAAATTTATAAATTCAGAACACTCCAATTAATCACGTGAGCCTCTTGTTACGATATGTTATGGCATTTGTTATACAGCTTGGTAACTTCGTACTACGTCCAGAGTTTATCACTCCATTGCGAAGACTTGTTGACCAAGTCACTGCTGTTCGTGAATATTACTTTAAAAAATTTCTGATGTTATATTGCAAAATTGCAGGTCTGGAAAGAAGAATTAAGTTACTCGAGGGTCGTGGTGGTAACAATAATTATAACACCCAGTTGTCCCCAGAGGTTTCCTTGTTGCGTGAAAGTTTTTTCTTTTTGCTTCTGGTCAGCATATCCACAGTAAAGGAATATAAAACAGCAGCGCCACTCAACGAGTTAAAATAAAAAAATCGTTAGAATCTTACGATTTCTTTTGCGTTTTAATGTCGTAAGGCAAAAGTAACGATGCATGATGTTGTAGGGTAGGTTAAGATTCGCAAGTTCTTAATGAATTTAAAAACTAGACTTTAACTTTGACCAAATCTTCATTGAATCTTACAGTCATATCTTGACAAGTTGTAGAAATGGTTTAAGGGCGTTCTGATTGACGTCACCATCATCTTCAATCCCAGAATCATAATATTAACACAGAATAATAACTATACAGAAGGGTCACTTAGGTGTTCAACGTGTTCTCACGTCAGCCATTATTCCAGCCAGTTGATTAGGGTTTGTTACGGTTTCCAACCATTAAAATTACATGACATCAATTCTTAATAATGAATTCGAGAATATTTTGACTTTAGAAATGACTTTTGATCATTTTGAAGGTTGGGAAAAAGTCAAAAACCCTAATCAACTGGCTGTAAAAATGGCGGCCACAATGCGCGGTGCGACATGCGCGAGAATAAAAACATCAAAGGTTCCGACACGAGTGACCATTATATTCTGCATATTCTTGTTCTGTGATATTAGCGTTATTTAATAGGCTGAATAATTTAATCAATAAATGATTGACGTAATATCGCTGAAAAATGGTCAATTGTTACTAGCATTTCAAGTGTATTAATGTAGGGAGAACATAGTTCTTTTGTTTGGCAACAATACGTTTAATTTTTAAAAATTAGATTTGATAGATATCCGGTAATTTGTTCAAGTACAAACAATGATTTTTAAACAATCATGTGGAACAAATACATATAATGACATGCTCAACACTATTTATAAAGATACTATCCATTTCAAGCCACATATAAACCACGAGACGTCATGGAAGGCAGATGTTGTTCATATGAGATGGATCAAGACTTTACACATAGACGACAAGTATAAAGATTTGTGATTGTGCCAATCAAAATAAAGTTGTTGCCTTCAACTCTCCTCAATGACACGTTATTTGAAAGCCACTATGTACAGATATATCCTATCAGTATCACATCCTAAATATTGATAGCAGCAGCAAAAAGAAATTTGAAAGAGGAAAACTCTTATGAAATGTGTGACACACGTAGCTACTTGTTTCGATATCATAAATGAAAATAGATCCTACGGCTGGAAACTACAAATGTAAGTGACTATCTTGTAAATATTTTAATGGTTTTTATTGATGCTGCTGATTTTTAGTTTGTTTCTTCAATGTCACATTAGTTATAACTGAATATATGAAATGAATATAAATACACTAAATTTGCCATCTGTCTTCAACGCACTATGTGGTTGAGTGCATAGAAGTGCAGTTTTCATAGATTAAGGTGTAGACTTGCAGTAAATGAGAACCGTAACTGTTTTTTTTTGCTCGTTTTTCTACGACTCTCTACTTTTTTTTTAGTAGTAGAACCTCGAGGAAAACAGAACGCCCTTAAATTCTCTCCTAACATTAACTTGGCAACATATGACAAGATTCAATGAATATTAGGAAAAAATAAACTTTAGTATATAAATTCATTATCGTCTCATGAGTCTTAACCTACATCATAATGCATCTTTGCTTTGCATAATGACATTAAAACGCAAAAAAAATTTGTAGATCCTAATAACTTTTTTTGTTCAAATACATAGAAGAATTACTTATTGTCTTTGTAAAAGTTGAAAAGCTCCTAAGGAGCCAATCACAATTAAAATTTTAGTCATGACGTGAATTAAACAAATGTTAACAAACAGAAACTTAGTCACTTTAACGTTGTAGAAAGAAAGGTGAATTCTGTCTTTATAAGGTGGTCAGTTGAAATTCATAGGAGATCAAATCTACACTAAGCATTCTTTGAGTGATGATATAACTGGGGTATTGAAGTGATCCCTTTTCCTTCACTTGAAGTTACCAAAAAAGTGCATCGTAAACAGTAACCTATCGAAATGGTGATTCATAATACCAATAGCCCCTTTATTGGTAACGTCGATTACTTTATGTATGGAATGGTGTAAACGTATTGAATGGACATTGCATAACGGCATTTGTACGTGTGAACATTAACGTTGAAATGACTGGACTATAATCTACGAAGATGGAAAACAAGCGAGAGGAAAAATATGATCCATGTCTTGTGGTTTGTAAGTTGAGTAGATGAGTTTTAAAATTAACTTATAGCTATGAGTAACTGCATGAGATATTCAAAAATGATCCTAATGGTCTATTTTTATAATTTGAACCAAAATCATGAAAAACACCTATGTTAGCTAAAAAAAGTCAAGAAAAGATATCAAATGCTGTGAGAAAATAGCTGGCTTTCACTCGCTACTTTTTACTAATTTCAATAAACGTTTATAAACAAAATTGCAATGCTGCAAGTAGGGTTCATTGAATTTTTTAGATAAAAATGTTACAATAAAACTTCTACTATATACACGTAAAAACTGCGCTGTAAAAAAAGGGGTAAAGACCTACTAAGATGCCTGTATCAGACGGACCAGGACAATGCTTGAAAATCAGGTATTAAAGTTTTGTTCTTTGCAAAATATATAATTTCTGATTTTAGTCATTCATTATGCTGACATTTATAATCTGTTTTTTTATAGAGTCGCTATGTCTGTAGGCCTAATAACTAGACAATGAATGTGCGATCAAGTTGGACAGAAGGACGAAGAAACAAGCATCCTTATTGAAAGATTCTCACTTGTGACTTTCGTTATGCATACTATTAATAAGTATAACGAATTTTTAAATTCAACCGTTAAAAATTTCCGTAAAACTAAATTTTCACAAATGTCAAATTTTCGGACAAAACACACGAGTGAAAGGCAGCTATTAATAAAAGTCTTAATGAAGCAACATAGAAATTTTGATCGAATGAAATCTAGTAGACAAAAATAATTTTTATGCAAGTCACGACGTCACTTTGGTCATTTTATTTTTCATTGTTATTGGTATGGGAATGATCAGGTCGAACGTACTGAATGAATTTTTCATATGATTTATGTATGAGCTGCTATTAGTTTTTATTTTTTGTCTATTCATTAAAATTTTTGTTAACACTTCGCACTCTTTCATTTTTCGTTCTCTACTAAAGTTTTCGTTTCTTATGTTCAAACACAAAATATTTGCGGTGTGAATAAATAGGGTAGTCAGTCAACTTTTTTTGTCGCTGCTTCTTTTGTCAACGCTTTTTTGGTCGCTTTGTGAATTTAAGATACGAACGACGAAGCTGCGACCTGACTACGCTGCATGCTAAAGTAGATCATCGGGATCATTGAAAACAACAAAAATATGAAAAATCTTAAAAACAACAAAAATTTAAAGAAATTTTTCTAAATTTTGATCTTTTTAATTATTGGAGGGTTTTTTTACCGGATCCACCGGTTTTCCCTCCCATTTGGTTTTGTTTTGGAAAAAAACAGGGTCCACATTTGGGGCCAAGGAAGTCATTCGTCATAACATTTATTGTAGCTAACATGAATATTCACATTTGTTTTTTATTTCTCGACCTTTGGGTATATTTCCCAAAACACTGCGTTTAATAAATATTATGGCATACATTTTGAAAAAATAAGCACGCAAGTTTTCTGCTCAGTCAGATCTTCTAAGACAAATTTTTAATCTTCGGCATCAACCGACTCAACGAGAAAATGATTCATACAGTATGGAAGTGTGATTGAGTACATAATTCCATGATTCTTTCATTTCACTAAAGAATCCTTTTACTTAAAATATTGCTTTAAACATGAGCAATGTGACGAATTTTACATTACTCACGGTAATACGCTTAACCCAATAATATTAGCACACACCATTCGACATTTTTCCCCACCATGAAGTGAGATGTTTTATGCCTATACCAAATACATTCCCAATGATATAGAGAGATGATAACACCAAATACACAGAGATTAATCTTGATATTAGATAGTTTAAGATTGAGAATTTTAAACTATAATGTGCTTCTCAACGTCACTACACATATGAGACTACACTCTAAATTTCGAAGTGTACTGTGAACACGAAAAATGGTATAAATTTCTGCCTCTGTAGGAAAACCAAAGAGGTGTAAATTGACATTGTAAAAATACACCCATCGGGTGTATTTGCTCTTGCCTCATTTTTTACATCAAGAGAGTGTAAATATACACCTCAAAGGTAAATATACAAATGGGATGTAATAATACACTCTAATGGTGTAATATCTCTAGTGTATGTTTACACTACGAATGTAAGCATAGTTAGAGTAGTGTAAACATATACATTAGACAGTGCATTCTTAAATTGAATTGACAACGCTCTGAAAAACAAAACAAAGAGCAAAATAGCATATAAATGTATTATGAAAGTAAATTTCAGCATAATAAATACTACAAAGTTATTAAATGTAACCCCCACTTACATAACTATTTAAAACCTTAACAAAATTTTAAATAAAACTACATTATATCATTAAATCCTGTACTATAACCATATATTTTATTGTTCACATTCTGGTTCATAGTTGCGATAACTCTGACATTAACACCAACACCTTTGTGGCACCTTTGGGTGTCAAACACTTTCATGATATTTCTCTGCAGGAAATGAAATGTGTTGACACATTCTTTAGGTATTGAATATTACATACGTAATACAATATAAGCATTGACTCCAGTGCATCCAGAATTCCTGCAGACCTTGTTACAATGTGGTTTTCGCAACTACAGTTATATCATCCGGATGGGGATCATCCACTGAGCCACTGATAACCAAAATGGGGCCATTCCAGGTCTTGCTGCCATGGCAACTTCTGCTTCACCAAACTGAAAATAGACAAAAAATTTAATCAAGCAGTTAGGCACTGCATTATTTGAGTTTCAATACAAATATCCATATTCTGCAATCAATACTAACCTGGTAAAAGTAAGACTCAGGACTTTTATTAGTTTTTGTTTTCCTTTCCAGTAAATGAGGCAACAAACACATTGCAACAAAAGTTTTGTTCTCTATGTAAAGTAATAAAACATGCATTAAAATAAACAGATATTAAATTGATCAGTTGCACTTGAAAAACAAAGGCATGACAAATTTTTTTCAGGGAAAACAGCATGACCAGATGGGCACAAAAGATGATTTATTTAAATATTTCAAGTCAAAATGACTAAATAATAACTCAGTACATATGTAGCATGTTCTATACATACATAGTGAGACATGTTTACCTGCAGATAAAATATTTTCATTCTCTTCATCATCATTACAACTAGAGTCATTTGTAGGTTTACAAAGAAGCAGCAGCTTATTAGCTTCTTCTGAAACAAATTTCCTTTGCTCTGCTACTCTGATAATGTTGGGTGATACTTCTAGCAAATTGCCTTGAATACAATCAGCAGCCAAGCTATCTGCCATCAAACGACTGTACTCAGATTTTAGCTATAAAAATCAAAGGACATTTTTAGCTATAAAAATTACACAACAACATGTACAAAACATGCATTTGTATTGAATAATACATACATGGGCTTTTTTAAACAGGAAAGGATATTGTTCCATCATATCCTTCACCAAATGTTTTTCCTCATTTATCATATGCCTCCTAAAGGAATAAGTCAATTCCATCTTTTTGTTTACCAAAGTGAGGTTGGGTTGTTTTCTTTTCAATTCCTTCTTCATCCACGAAACATGTGCTTGGGAACAGACATCGTCCTCGCCATCTATTGGTGGAGGTGCCCAGTTCACAATTCCTCGTCGAACAGCTGCTCTGATTTTAGTTGCAGCTGGACTGCCATCAACATTTTTTCTTTTTCTAGATAGGACAACAGGGTCTGCTCTTTCATTTCTTAATTCATTCTTAACTTTCTCACCAAGGTACCGATACCAAATTTCCTAAAAAGGTAATCACATATGAGTAATTCACTAAAATTGCCTGTATGAAACCTGTCATAAAATTCTTCAAGCCATCAGTATGCAAGTTTATGGACAAACAATACAGATTTCAGCGTTTTTTGTTATGTCTTTTTCTTTATTATAACTATACAAACATGATGAATAATAAGAAAAGACTATATACAATTATAAATAAAAGACTTACATAGCCACCACTTGCATCAGAAAGAAAAGGGTATTTTGCAATTATTGCACGACAAACATCTCGCCTTTGGTGGGAGAACTATACAACAAAAGCCATTCTCGATGACACAAATATGCCATAATACACCACAGCAGGATAAAATCAAGAGAAAGTTGCTGAAAATATAAATGATGGAATGAACTTACACAGTAAATAGGCAAATTTTGTCGTAAATTGTTTGTATGAACTTGCATCTAACTTGCTTTGGCATTCTCAATTTCTTTGCAAGTGTTTCTTCAACCAAAGGCGGAAATAGTCAGGAAGAACAAACGGCGATGTCCATTGTTTTCTGCCTTTTGCTACTGAGTTGTCACTGCTATGAAACACACACACAGGCATCCTCATGATAGATATATTTACAATTCAGTGTCTTTTAATACAATTCATTACCTTGCACTTGATAGTGATTCACACACACCAGATTGCCCACCAGGATTTGATGCATTTCCTTGAGAATTGGAGTCTTGCCACTTGCCAGCATATCACATGTAGATAAGTCACTAGCAGACTCAGATGTAGAAGTCGAGCATCTAGTGTTCATTTGTTTGATGGCTTTCAATAACTTCATCCTGGGGCCAATCCTGACAACCAATGATTTTAAGGCATCTTCCGTCAAGCAGGACATTGCATCGCCATCAATGCCCTCGTCTAAGTATAATTTTGATATCAAAATATAGAATTTGTTTTCAAGTAGCAACGATCGATCGAATATTAAAAGTCACGGATTTAGAACTCGCACGATGAGGAATAAAATATAGCGGTAAAATAGCACATGGTACCTTCGGTTGACATCGCAATAGTACAGCGCAACACAAAAGTTTCCCAAACTGAACCGAATTCGGAATCTTATTGCAGTAGTAAAATAATCAAAATACTAAATACAAATGATGCAATTGCAAAGTCAATACCTACCACAAAACGTTTGGCTGATGTCTTGAAAACCATTTAAATCCAGCCAATTCACAACTTCTTCAACGGAAAATGTTTCTTTAAGTGTAGACCCCATTTTCAACAGATTTAGGACGAACGAAATACTTTTTCAAGTTAAATCAGAACAAACGGTCAAATTGTGAATGGCTATACACACTGCACACGACACGTTTATGGTAAAGAGCCGGCGGTTATAATGATACTGGGATAAAAAATGGAATAATTATGATTAACATTCTTCTCAGAGGTCGGACTTATTTCTGACCATGCAGTTATGACAACAGCTATGTGCAGGAATATATTTACTAAATCGATTTTATAAAGAAACAGAATTCAAACTGATTTCTGGCCTACTAATCACGGTAAATGCTGATCCATTTAGTGATTAATAATCAAAGCAATTTTCGCAGTCGTTGCTTCAGATATGTTCAATGGCCAGAAGAAAGAGCAAGAATTTAAATGTATAAACATACATTGCTCGCATCTATCATTTGCCTCTTTCAAGAGATATATGAGTCATGTTCGAGATTATCATGTTCATGAACCCAATTTCAAGATTAAATGTCCGTTTGACTCGTGTTGTCGGTCCTATTCACTGATATCGTCTTTAACATCTCATATGCGTCGAAAACATAAAGGTGACCTTGATTATGCAGTTGATTGTGAAGTCAATGATATGAACGGCGATATTACGCAAGACAATGACCATCTAGTGGCAGACTCGACACTGGACTCAATTGAGATGGGTTGCAACAACAAACATAATACGTATATTTCAGTCAAGGAAATGGCATTGTTTGCTTTGAAGACACAGGAATTCAATCAACTTGGTGACACTGCAACGGATGCAGTGCTTGAAAATACTTATCAGTTAATGGAGCAAAACGAGGACTATTTTAAAAAGCAAGTTAAATTATGCATCGAGCATTCCAGTGTTGACATTAAAGATATAGAAGGTTTCGAAGAATTACTTGAGTCACCACCCTCACTTTCTGCATCAAAAAAAGTATTGCAGGCATCAAAGGATAGAAACAAGTATTTAAGGGAAACATTAAATATGGTGGTACGTATTTAAAGTATTCTAATACTTCTTATAAGAACATGATAGTATAATGTATTAATTACTACCTAAATGTATTATCTACTTATTTTGTAGGACCCAATTGAAATAGTGCTTGGAGAAGAGATGGTAACTTCTGAAGTGAATGGTCAGTTCCGAGTGAAAAACACTCCTTTCAGTATATTCCAATAATAAAGGTCTTGGAGCATTTGCTTAATCAAATTGACATCATGTCACAAGTAAGAAATGTTGTTAAAGTAAAAGTTTACAATTGCAAAAACTAATATGCTGCTGTAACTTCTGTTAATTTTTTGTTAGGTTTGAAACCCTCACCAAAGTTTAGATGGGAATATGCGAGACTTTTGTGATGGAGAGCAGTTTAATCCTGGTCGCCATCCACTGTTTTCAGTCAACCATAAGGCTCTTCAGATTCTTCTTTACTATGATGACTTTGAAGTAGCAAATTCTTTAGGAGCAAAGGCAACTGTGCACAAGCTAGGTATAGCAATAAAAGGCTATGTTATTCCATGCCCATCAATGCTAAAGTACTTCTGATTTTTTTCTATAGGTGGATTTTATTGGATTTTAGGAAATATACATCCAAAGTACAGATCATCCCTTAAAATGTTGAATCTTGCCAATTGTGCCCTGTGAAGTGGATAAAAAAGTATAGTATGGCAAAAGTTTTGAAGCCTTTGATGACTGATGTGGCATTGCTAGAATCAGTAAGTGTTGAAATTTCATTTTGTTGCAGCTTTTTGATAATTTATGTATCAACAAACAGAAAAGAACAATCTGACCATTCAACGTTCCCTTTACAGGAAAATGGAGTTCAACTAAATATAGGGCAGTCCATTAGATCTTTTGAAGGTACCTTGAGCTTGGTTTTAGCAGATAACCTTGGCAGCAATGGTATCGGAGGCTTTATGGAGAGCTTTTCAGCAAAAAGGCCATGTCGATTTTGTATGGGTATATTGGATGAATTTCAAACAAAGGTAGTTCTATTAAATTTCAGCATATTACTGCCAAGGCATAACCAGCTAGAGGAAATGTTGGATCTTGCTATACTTTTTTTTGCATTTTTAGCCACAGCAAAATTATAAATTGACTAATGTCATGTTTTGAAAGTACTGTGAAAATGAACTGCCTAAGTCAGGTTTTGGCATTATAACTGAGTAAGGCTATCATCTTTTTATGATGCCTGAAACTTCAAAAAAATCTGTTGTCTTGTTTAGTTCACAGAAGAAGAGTTTACCATGCGTTCCAGGGAGATGTATGACCGGCATGCTGCCTTTTCAAAAATTGATCCAAATTCTTTTATTTATGGTGTCAAGACACAGTCCTTATTAAATTGTTCGAAATATTATCATGTGGTTGATGGTCTTCCTTCAGATATCATGCATGACATCCTTGAGGGAGTTTTGCCTTTGCATTTAAAAGTAATGCTAAGAAAGTTTATATTCAAAGAGAAAATGTTCACTCTTGATGAACTTAATCGGCGAATTAAAGGCTTTCCATATGGACCTAATGACTTTAGGAACAAACCAAGTTTGCTCAAGAATTTGACCTTGTCAGACTACAATATGCGTCAGTCAGGTACTGCTGTGTGACTTTTTCAATGATATTACTCAATAATTAATCAATGATCACCATGGGTTTTAATATTTACACAGCTTCCCAAATGTGGTGCCTCTCAGGCTGCTGCCTCTGATTATTTATGACTTTGTGCCTGAACATAACCCTGGGAACTGTTCGTTGATTTGATGAAGCTTGTTGACATCGCCATTGCACCAGTCAGAAAGGAGACAACCTATTATCTGGCAGTCCTTATAAAAGACTATCTGGAAGAATTCGGACATCTTTATCCAGATACTAAATTGATTCCAAAGCAGCATTTTATGGTTCACTATCCTGCTCAAATAAGAAGGTAATATAATTATGTTGTTCTGAGGCCCTATTGCACAAATTGGTATTTCAATAGTGACTTATAGTGTCTTCCACCCTTTACTGACCTTTCATAAAATTTTACTGAAAAGTTAGGCAGTTTCCATAAAGAAAATACATTGCTATGTTGACATTAATGTTGTTTTTTTGTGTTGCTGTTCAGAACATGCTAGTATAAATGGTGCTTTTTACTTATTATGTTTGTGTGATTAATGCTAGAATTTCTATAAATTCATACACGCATTTTATCATAGGAATGGGCCACTTGTTCGTCAGTGGTGCATGAGATTTGAGGCCAAACATCGCTATTTTACACAACTGGCACATGGAATGAAGAACTTCAAGAACCTGTCCAAGACTTTGGCAAGGCATCAACGTCTTCAGTGCTATTGGTTGTGTGAAGAAGATGCCTATTTGAAACCAGTCGAAGAAACTGGATCAGGTGATTATTTGTTTGTTTTCTTAAATATTAAGATGGTGGATAAGTTTTTGCAATACAATACTGTGTCTTCATACCAACAGGTTCAACTATCGAACTAAAAGAAATTTCACCTGAGAAATATCTTAGTCTTTCTCGTATCTGTGATTTTTTCACTCCAGAGACAAAGGTGTACATGTAAGTATTTAAAATTTTGAAACTCTTTTTTATTTTATTATAATATTGACTGTGTACAAAAAGTAATTGTCCTCATCTTGGCCTTTTCATCATCGAATAGCACAAACCTCCAGGATGATAGTGTCATCAGAATGACATTCTTGTTCATCATCCATCTTTACTTTTTATCTTTTCTCTTCTTGCTTTTCTCTTTGCCTTTCTTTTCCTTTTCTTATTTTTTTTATTTTTCTCAATCTCCATGGTTTGTTGCATGGAAACTGTCATACCTAATACAAATAAGATTTGAAATTAACAATTATTTTTCCAATAAAACTTGTTCTATGCAAAATTAAAGTTGACCTACAATTTATAGACAATGTAGAAAACAAAAGAGCAGCAATGTTGTGTTTTTGTTCTGAAGGCAAAAACATTCTATTGCTGTGTCAGTGTGCTACTTCTAACCTTTTCATCACTCTCTTGTCCTAAGTCTTGAGGATTGTCTTGTCTCACACAATCATCTTTAGTTTCCTGGACATCAAAACATTTAATTGACCTCCTTTAATCAAGAATATTGAAAAGTTGCATAGTGTACACTGCATACATTCTCACCTCATTTATATAGGTTTGCTCCGCCATCTTAAACACGTTGTTTGTTGTACCTTGTACCCAGTTCACTGCCTTGGGCCACACTTGAAAATGGGGGGGACTATATTATAAGATATGGTACTAAGTTCCTATGAAATCAATTGTTTTGCCCGCAAATGATTTACCGACTGTCGTGACTCAAAGTTTACCACTGTCTACTTTCAGGGCTAATTGGATATCAATTCATGGAGTCAAGTACCACAAACGAGCTGCACTTGTGTATAAGCAATCAATACTGCCATGTATCTTGATGATCGAAGATATAGTCATTGCTAATGGGATGCATTTTTATTTGTAAACAAATGCATACATTGAAATATGTTAAAAACCTACACTCATACGAAATAGCAATACTCAACAATATTGAGACGGTTAAATATGATGATCTAATAGACTATCATCCGTTGGATGTATATACAATAAATAGACATGGATTCTCGAGAAAATATGTAAAAATGAGATATGACCTCTCAGATTGTGAAAATTAATAAACCATGTAACATACAAGTATATTATTTGCCATAAATGAAATTTAGTGCTTTTAATGTTTTATATTTTTGTACAAGTGTTTCCATAAAGCGAAAGCCGATTTTCCATAGAAGCATGACACTATTGTTGTGTTATAACACACATTAATAGTGATTATTGATCAAAGTCTGGTGTAAAGTTACACCAGATATAGGTAATATACGATCTACACCAAATCAGTGTAAACCTAACACTTTGTTGGAACAAACACCTCAAAGGTAACATAACACTCGCAGAGGTGTAATTTGCCGTTTACACAAAAGTTGTGTAAATTTACACCTATACGATGTTTGCTGTACACTTGGAAATTTAGAGTGTAGCATTATCTTAATGACTATTTCATTGCATCCTTTACTGTATCGACAGTGTTTTCTCATAACTAAGTAATTATAATTGCATGCAGTTGATGTTTGAAATGTATTCGTAAGTTACAATGGTTTATTTAATAACAAAGCTTCTTTATAATATGAGTGACTTGTGCAATAATATGCATGTATGGAATTTTGATTAATAAAGTAAAAATCCCATATGTACATACAGTACGTATTCCATATATGGATATATGCACAATCCATAAACAATACACGACGCTAAAGCGCAAATACATGACGATAAAGAGCAAATACACGACGTGGTTGGTCAACAGTGGGTTTTACTTTCTATGAATACAGCCTCACTAAGGCGGCAAGTGAGACAGGCTTTGGTCTTTAATGGAAAAAGATTGTACTCTATTGATAAAAGCAGTCCCATCTCGATGTAATGAAGAAGGTACTATAACTATTAATGCTTTGTAATTTATCTTATCAACTCACGAAATTTACTCAAACTAGTTGCTGCAGCAGTAGATGGACAAACTTTGTTTATGTTTGGCTCAAAGTGATTAAATCTTTTGTTTCTTAAATTAAATTTCTAGTCGCCTTGTTTTTATGGTATTTCTAATCAGATAACTTTCTAGTTTGTATGTTTGTGTCTCTATTAGATTTGTGGTCTAATAACTGTCTGTGTTCTCTGAAGTATGGGTTGTCTCTTGATTATGTTGTTTGTTAACTGTGATGTTCATGACCATTGTCTTATGATTATTATGTTTCATTACATTATTGTCTGATTACTATATTTTCTGATGATTGTATTATGATTTTATTGTCTGATGACATTTTCTGATGATTTTTTATGACTTTATTGTTGATGGTATTGTCTAATGATTGCATAGTCTAATGACTGCATTTTAAATGACTGTATTGTCTAATGACTGTATTATTTAATGACTCTATTGGCTGATGATTACATTGTTAGATGACATTATTATCTAATGACTGTATTGTTTCATTACTGTATTGTTTAATGACTGTATTGTTTAATGACTGTATTGTTTAATGACTTTATTGTTTAATAACTTTATTGTTTAATGACTGTATTTTTTAATGACTGTAATGTTTAATGACTGTATTGTTCAAGCGACTTTATTGTTTAATAACTTTATTGTTCAATGACTGTATTGTTTAATGACTGTATTGTTCAATGACTATTGTTTAATGACTGTATTGTTTAATGACTGTATTGTTTAATGACTGTATTGTTCAATGACTTTATTGTTTAATAACTTTATTGTTCAATGACTGTATTGTTTAATGACTGTATTGTTTAATGACTGTATTGTTCAACGACTTTATTGTTTTATAACTTTATTGTTCAATGACTGTATTGTTTAATGACTGTATTGTTCAATGACTGTATTGTTCAATGACTGTATTGTTTCATAACTGTATTGTTTCATGACTATATTGTTCAATGAATGTATTGTTTGATGACTATTGTTTAATGACTGTATTGTTTAATGACTTTATTGTTCAATGACTTTCTTGTTTCATGACAGTATTGTTTAATGACTATATTGTTCAATGAATGTATTGTTTAATGAATGTATTGTTTAATGACTGTATTGTTTAATGACTGTATTGTTCAATAGCTGTATTGTTTCATGACTATATTGTTCAATGAATGTACTGTTTAATGACTGTATTGTTTAATGACTGTATTGTTTAATGACTGTATTGTTAAATGACTATATTGTTTAATGACTGTATTGTTTAATGACTGTATTGTTCATTGAATGTATTGTTTAATGACTGTATTGTTTAATGACTGTATTGTTTAATAACTGTTATTGTTCAATGACTGTATTGTTTAATGACTGTATTGTTTAATGACTGTATTGTTTAATGAATGTATTGTTTATTGTCGATTTCAGTTAACTTTTCAAATGGCGGTTGCCAAGTTACTTTCTAATGTTGCCAACTACATTTCCAAATATAGAATATTCGTTATGAACTTGTCAACTTGAGTTGACAAGTTGTGTGTACTTGAGTACTGATGTTGGGAACTTGAGTACTGAAGTTGTGAACCAAAGTTGCGAAGTACTGGCAAACGCGAAAGGTCTTTGTACCCTGTAGACATTTGGCAATGAATCCGTTCAGTAAGCAAGGAAAAGCTTTACAATAGAAGTAAGAAAAATACTTGAAAGGTGGTTATAACCAGCGTTTGACAAACATTTTGAAACAACTAAGTCTACCGATAAACTCTATCAAAT